TGTCAACCGTCTCAATGACCCCGGTGTATTCTGTATGTGCACATATACCAAGAAGAATATACCAATGTGCCCACCCTTAGTCACAAACGCTCTTCCTATGGAGTTGCACAGCAATCATGCCAATTGAAAGAACACATTGACACTTCTTTTTTGAGATGCTGTTGTGTTTGTTTTCCCAAAGACACCTCGGCTTTCAGCACTTCTATTTATCATGCATTCTCCATCTAGAAGCACACGGAATATAAGCTTCCATGTGTTTGCAAGCACCCACATGTTCTGCTGCCATTAGGTTGTATGACTACACGGGTCATGGGGGATGTGAAGGGAGGAGACCTGGGGCTACCTCCTGATTTAAGAAAGCTTTACAATGAAACTATATACAGGTGAAACTCGAATAATTAGAATATCGTGCAAAGTTCATTTATTTCACTAATGCAACTTAAAAGGTGAAACTAATATATGAGATAGACTCATTACATGCAAAGCAAGATAATTCAAGCTGTGATTTGTCATCATTGTGATGATTATGGCTCACAATTCATGAAAACCCCAAGAACCCCAAATCCACAACCTCAAAAAAAGTAGATTATTACATGCAATCAATAAAACAAGGATTGTACATAGAACAATATCGCACCTCTGAAAAGTACAAGCATGCATATGTACTCAGTACTTGGTTTGGGCCCCTTTTGCAGCAATTACTGCAATTACTTTTGCACGATATTCTAATTATTCGAGTTTCACCTATATATAGCGCTCACACACACGGCAGGCATTGGTTACAAATGTAAACTGCAGGCGAGGTACAAATACTGGGAACAGGACCTGACAACAACGTAACACACGGCCTCACTTCCAGCTAATAAAAGTCCATCCAACAGGCCCAAGTGCTGGATCATTCTGCTGCTGGATTATACTTCTCACTGGACACAATGTTGCATCAAGTCCTCCAGGACTATCTGAGTTTCCCCAAACATACAAAGTATATGATTAGAACGCATCGGTCCTGGTTAGATTACCCATTAGGGACCCATAATGGCCCCGGTTATATTACCCATAATGGCCCTGGTTATATTACCCATAATGGTCCTGGTTATATTACCCATAATGGTCCCGGTTATATTACCCATAATGGCCCTAGTTATATTACCCATTCAAGACCCATAACGGTCCTGATTATATACACAGCCTCCAGCCTAATGGCCACTTGAGGCCCTTTAATACTTGTTGTGATGTCCTCAGACCCCAACAGTCACTAGTGGGAGGTCATCATTGATTTGTGAGCCAGTAATCTTTAGCAGTCTTATGTACCAAGTCTATGTTGGTGTCTTGCAGCAAGTATAAAATCCACACGCAGTCCTGTAATGTGGTCACAGTCCTTAACTATCTCCTGTAGTATGTCTACAGTTTCGGGCAGACTTCTGTAACATTACATATACGAATATCACGCACAGCCCCTTGGGTACTTCGGGGAGTGCAGCGGAGGCCCCCTATATCTTGTACATTGAACACCACCTAATGCTACAATTACTACCAGAGAGGTCGCGCTGCCATAAAACAAGCAGCAGAGGGAGCCAAAGACCCACTAACAAATCCATTGACACCCCCCAGATCTTTGCTCCTGGAATCCTCCAGATCAGTATAATGCACATTTCCATTT